GTCCCCCCCCCCCCTCCCCGCGCGCGCCTCCCCCCCCACCGCGTGCCTCTTTCTCTCACCTTTCGGCCCTAAGCTTCTGCTTCTCCTTCTCCTCCTTGCTCTCACGGTCGATGCCTCCGTCCATTGGGGCGTCCCTGTTCCAGCTCAGCCGTTTCACCAACGTCCACGGGACCCAGTCTTGCAGAAAGGGCGGCGAATACGCTCCACCGAATCTGGCGTTGCGGTTAGGGGTGGGGGGTGGGGGAGTACTCATGTTTTGGATATACGGAGAGGGGGGGACGCAGCATCAGGGGGGGGGAGGTTTGGCCCCTGTTCCAGCCGAGCCGCTTCGTGATAGTGTGTGCCGGAGGACCCCCAGTCCTTCGGGAAGGGTGGCACGCGCTCCCGCCGAGCGAGAAGCGGCGCGAATAGTCAGGACTGCTGTAGGCTTGGTGTGTCTCAAGTCCGTTGTCGAGTCCCTACTCTCTGCTCAGTTCCAAACAGCTGCTTTACTATGCACGCGAAAATACAGTGATTCTCTTCATCTGCAACAGACCCGCTCAAGAACGGAACAAACAACTACACGAAAAAAAGAAGCTAGATGTACTCTGCGTCAGGGCGGCCGGCGTCGTACTCTCAAAGTCCGTTGCTGACTTGTACTGACTGTTCTTCGTGCCTGTGGGTCTGCGTGCTGCGTGGTGTTTCATTGCTACTTTTCTCAAAAATATGAAAACCATTTTCTTGGCCTGCAGCAGCTCCGGGCAAGAACCGAGGAAACAACACACGCCTTAAAGAAACGCCACGAAAAATAAGAAATGGTTCGAAAAAGAAAAAAAAAGATGTACGTGTGACCTTGCGAGTTCAGAATGTGGTCAAACGGGGTTGCTGCCTAAACCCTTCACGGAGACCGAAAGGGGATTCGTACAGTACAACCTCCCGTCTACTCTTTCTCACTTTCGAGCACGCCTCTTCATGTTTTCGCACTCCTGCTGGTACTGCTCCAAGGCCGCGTCCAAAGATTCCTTGTCCTGACAAGGGGGAGAGGCGAAGCAAAAAATCAAAGATGACGGCAGGAAAATAACACAAACGAGAGTGTGCACGAGTGTGATGTGATCGACCCTTTCGAACATCAAACGCTGATGTCGGCACGACAAACGACTTGTCGGAGCGATTTACTTCGAGGCATAGACTTCTTGATCTAGACTAGAAAATCCCAGAGGACTAGCTACATGTTATTGTTGTTGTTGCTGCTGCTGCCGCTAGTGTCGGTGCTGCTGTTGGTGTTACGGTAGGTGCGCACCTCTCCGGAGAAGCCCTCGTCGCACCCTTCCGCACGCACGAACTCCAGCTCCGTCTCCACCGCCGAGCCCAGCGGTCCGGTGCCGGCCTCCGCCTGTCAAGCACACATTAAAGAAAAGGAACCAAACAACACCCCGGTAAGCAGCAACAACGACCGTCCCCACCCGGACCTACGGTACGCTACATACATGAATAACCTCGAATATTTTTCTTTACCAACACACGCAAAGAAAAAGTGGAATCTCTTGGGCGAGGACTTAACCCCGGGCGCACAGAGGCAAAACATTCCTTACAAATTGCCAGCATTCCCAACAGTGCCACCGCAGCCGCAGACAAGGTTAAACCTGGCCCTCCGCTACCTAGGGTCTCGGTGGCGTGCACGACAGGCAACACGGCGCCATCGCCCACCACCAACGACTTCGCACCCATGACATAGCACATGAGACAACCTTGGTGCCGAGACACAACCACTGCGACATAGAAATACCTGCAACTTTTCATCACCGTTTGTCCGAATCCTACGAACTCGCCTCGATCAGCCATGATTTCTGGAACATCCACATGCATGATGCCTGTATGATCACATTGCCTGAATCGCACTCTTACCTCCATCTTGATGTCGCGGAATACCGCCCTGTGCCGCAGGCATGTGAAGCCCACGTAGCGAACCTGTCCCACAGTCGTGTGCATGGCCGTAATAGGGAAGCGAGGCGAGAAGGGTCGGGGTCGGGGGGGTGCCGGAGGGGGGGTAAGAAGAGGTGCGGTCGCATATATGACACAAAACAGGAGGTAGGGAGGGGGCACGCGAACAAACAACAACAAAAACTGTATCGCGAGAGACATATCCAGCGATCCGGTCTCTCGTTGGACAGCTTTTCAGCCGGCCTTCTGTGTAAACTTAACTTCAGGGTTGCTAACAGACAGAACGAAATACTTTATTCCACACTTACATACCGTAAATGACACAAGATAACACACCCCCTGGACCGATTTTCAAATATCGATTTCTCAACAACAGAATGAGTCACGGCGCCGAAAACGGCGGCGTTGGAACCGTCTCGTCAAGAGCTTTCCACAAATGTATCGTGTCGTGTCTCGTTTGCTTTGAGGATTTTGTGAGTTCATTTTCGTTTTCCATCTGATTCCCACAGAGCGTGTACCGTGTTTGGCTCGTTGGCCTGTGACCGCGGAAGGAAGGTGCCCGCGTCAGTTGGACCAGAACGGATATTAGAACGTGCTGAGCGGAGACCGAAAAGATTTGTACATTGTCAAGGCAATTTACACAACGACTGGTGTACCCTACCTCAACGGGGGACTCCGTGTCCTGGTACGACAGCACGGTGCGCTGCCCGCAGACATCCCCCACCCCAAAGTCTAGCCTGCCGTGCTTCACCGCGACCCAGTACCTGTTCCCGACAGAGGGGGAGGGAGGGAGAGAGGGGGGAGGAATGTACAAATGTTTTGTATGCCTTCGTTGCTAGACCACTTGTCCTCGAGAGGACGGAGCGTTGTCCCCACAGGACCGATCACCATTGACCAATCGGGGGGAGGGGGGGNGGGGGGGGGGGGGGGGGGGGGGGGGGGGGGGGGTGTAGCCATGTTTTGCATGCCATAGTTGTTAGACTATTGGTCACGCGCCCTCGGGAGGACGGAGGGTTGTTCTCAAAGGATCGACCTAGGCGGGAGAGAGGAGGAGGAGGTGGCATTTTGCGTACGCCTTAAGAGAAATAATTGGACGGATGACATTGTCCTGTGCCATGGTCGCAAGGTCATGGACTAGACGTTGCCATCGAGGCGTCTACACGGTATACACACGCTACCGTGTTTCCCCCCACCGACCACACAAATGTCGACGTCTTCAGGTGGCAAGTGCGAGGAGTACAAGTCTCGAGCTTGAGAAAATACGTCTACAGCAGCACCACCGAACGACAACACACAGCTTCAGAAAAAAGGCATAACCACACGGTAACTCATCACCCTCGAGAGCGGCGAAAATACTCCGGCGAGGACGATGGACACCTTGATTGAGACCGGCAGTAGAACCAACTCATGAAAACACACAAAAGCCTCGATACGGTGGAAATAGGATAGAGTAGGGGGTGTACTCATAGTCGTGCATGCCGTAGTCGTTACACCATTGACCTCGCATCCCTACAAAGCCGGGACGGAGCACGCCGGGTTCTCACCGGACCAGGCTCTCACATCACCAAGCGCGAAGCGCCGTGAGATATTCGGCGAGTCGCATGAAGGGTGCGCTGCATCCTGCAAAGGGTGTTCGGCCTCTTGTGCTTACTTCCTCGCATACGGATGACAGCTGCGTATGACTTAACGTAATTTCTGGTGCTTTCACTTCCAGAGACAGTTGTAAGCACTGTGTAACTGCCTCGAGGGTGCTTGACCATTTTAACACAACGTGGTGCGATCATCCCCCTTGCGCGGAGTGAGGGTTCTCCACCCCGCACAACATAATCTACTCGACCATCATCATGGTTACCGCCAAAAAAAGAACAGAGGTAAAAAAAAAAACGGTGACCTGGTTGCCGAAATCACGCAGTGAATTGGCTTGTTTTACAACGTCGTTGCCAAGCGACGAAAACCCAATCCCGATGGCAAACACCGAGGGGAAATAGGATAGAGTATGGGGGGGGGGAATGCAGGAAGAGGGCGACGCCGAAAACGAGCAGGAAAAGGAACCAACGATACAATGCGGGGTAACTTCGCCGAAGCGGTGACAAATAAACTGCAATTGTGTAGAAAATAACTGCCCAAAATGAAGCTACTTAGCTCGCTTACTACAATCAAACTCACCGGTGTGCCCTCTTCGAAGCGCAGAGGAGCCCCGCCGATGATGCCACGGTCTCACCACGCCGTCCCTGCACCCCGCCACCGTCATCACAACCAAAAACATCAACGGCATGAGCGTCGTATCATCACCATGCTGCCGCCATTTAACATCGTCATCGTCACCATACCATCGCCCCGCCATCGTTCACAAAAGCAACGTTGTCCCACCTGCTGTCTTTTCTCGAGGTCGACTTGCAGGTTGCCCTTGTTGCCGATGATGAGCTGGTACATGCCTCCCTTGCCTCCGGACTTGTGCGCCAGGCCGACGGTTAAGTCCTTTCAGGAAAACGACGAGAGATAATTTTACTCTATTGTCACACGAGATTCATCCCACGAAGCAACCGAACGGGAGCGGGTGGGTGAAAGGGGGCAGAACATTCACGCAGTACAAACACGCCAGGATGAACCAACCACCCAGCTCACGGATGGGCTTGAGACGCTCAGATAGAGCCACAGCAGTGGTGTGAATGTTCCGTGATCTCCCTCCCACCACGGCACGCACTGCCAGGACACATGCGGAGCCAGAAAAACGAGGTAGAAAAGCGAACTGCGCCATACAGAACATACACACAATTGGGTATCAAGTCCGGAAGAGGCACGCCGCCGCCAAACTCCCCCAGCGTCCCTCCTGCCGGGAGAGCCCGATGGCTACAAGGCGAGTCCGCGCTATCATCTCTCTATACAAGACTGGCGTCTTTCCGGATACCGCGGTAGGTGCCAATTCACGCGCACACACGCAACCGCACGTTTTTATCCCGCTAAGACTGGCGTCTTCTTTCCATCGGCCAGCCGGTTAGCGCGGTCAACGCTAACAACAACAAACACCAACACAACACACCTGGGCCCCCATGGCCTCAAACTTGAGCGTGAGTGTGACGTTGTCCAAGGCTTCTCCAGTGACCCCGGGGGTCGCTGTCCAACTATCGTAGATGTTACCGGCCGGAGCTAGCTCCCTGTTGGGAGTGTTTTTACGTGTTCGCAGTTCATGTGACAAGATATGTGAGAAAGGGATTACATACTGCCATGTGTGGGACTGCGTGGGTATCCTCGGCCTTTCCAAGCATTGACCGCGCTACACGCCTGACCGAAAACTACCGTCAGCGGTGAGCGAGGTGGAACAACAAAAACGTTGAATCTACGGCAAAAACCATCCACCCATCAGTGTTGAACGGGGTCGAAGAACCAAAAGTGGGGGCGAAGTGGGGCTATATATATCTACGGAGCATCGGCCAACATTTCGAAAGTACCGTACCGCTGTTGGAGTTAGCTACGAAAGAAACCGCCCCGTCGAAGAAAAATACGCCAGTTCTTAAAGCAAGGTTCAACATCTTGTTCAATTTGCTACCAGTTGTGTGATCATCGAATGCAAATGATTGCAATTGCTCCTAAGAAAATCCCAAGTCATGGTGAACGGTGAAGTTACACCCTTCCGTGTCGCACTCAACGGGGCGGGCGCCCGTATCAACAGGTTCAAAAATGCCCCACGGCTAACTCACAGGCATGGGGGCGATCTTTTCGCAACCAAGGAACCACACCCCAGAGCCACAAATAATAACTCCCAGGTGCTGTTCGTTGTGCACGAACCACACACGGTGGCGGGCCTCTCGCGATCGGACTCACGATATCGGGCCCAAACATATTGTGCTGTACTGGCATCCGAAGCAACACAAAAGGAGAAGGAGAGCTACTGGGGCAACTTTCTCCGGTCGGCGCACGGGGGTTGTGTTGTCAACGCCTCGGGGGCGGCTGCCGTTACTCAGGTTGAAAAATGACACACGGGCGATGAGGCCGGGGCTTACTCACGGCCGGGGGCGGGGGGGGGGGGCACGCCCGCGTCTAGTGTATACCTGATGTGTTTGTCTTTCAATATTGTATGAGTTCGTTATTGTCAGTACAGTCTAGACCTTGCCAACCGGCTGACTACATGTACGACCGATGCCAGCAGGCCGTTGGCTCACACCGTTTGGGGCGGGGAGCGGGTGGGGGGGGGGTACAACGGAGGGGATTATCGAAATGCTATCTACCTGCGGTATTGCGGTACAGCTGACCCCGCTTTAAGGACGCACATGGTTTTTTTCCCGAAAAAAAAGCGTCCGCAAAGCAGGGTTGCGTCCTTAAAATTCAGGGGATCATAGCTCACCATCCCCGGGGCCAACGGAGGCGTACTATACCTCAAAGTACGCGGCTTTTGATAAGGAAGGGTGGGGTACGAAAAGTCAGCATCGCCGAGACGAATGGCAACCGTTTGTTGACGTCGAACACATTTACAATACTTTAAATGAGATGTACAGCAGTCGGGGACGTGTTGAACACAACTACATACAGTACACAAGTTTGAACTTGGCCAGCTAATGTACTGCTTCGCTGGCAGCGGAAGAAGGAGGAAAGTCCAAGTAGAAAAATATTTATCTCATTCTCGTGAAACACAAAAAAAGCGAGCGTATTTCAGCGTCGCACCTAGGAACACCAGCACATGTAACTGTCCCGGCGGAGACCAAGCTACCCTGACGGCTTTTCCCTCCACATATCGCGAAGAGTTCCCTGAACCTCCCCCCGCGGCTTGGCTCTACGGCTCTGTTGAGTTTCATGAGTAAACGAATGAACGGTCTTCGAAAGAAGGTACTGCGTCTCACGGTATTCGCCACCCCTTCTGTTCGCGTACAAATAGGATCGAACGTCCTCCAAGCGAGAGATAACCTCGCCCTCGGTGAGGGACAAGGTTATGCACGACTCTGGCCTGCCGTCGCCAGCGCCCCCTTCGCTCGATACGCCGTCGTCCATTTCTAAGCCGGCGAGATCCCTCTCTACTGCCTGCAGTTCCAACTCCACTTCTAACACCTCGGGGTCGTCCTCTACCGTAAGCCACGTCTTGACCGCCGTTCGGACTTCCTGCTCTGTGAGGTCTGTCCCCTTCTCGACAAACAAATGGTCCGTCAACACTCGCGGCATGGACCTATAGTCCGTTACGCTAGCTGGTATCGACATTTTTGAGACCATGTCACAAAGACCGTCGATGGTTGCCGCGTCGTCGTTGTCCTCTTGGTCAAGCCGAGTGTCCATGCCCTTGAGAACGTTGCAGTGCTCCCTGGGAAGTATGCCAGCCTTGAGCCAGCACCTGATGATCGTCTGAACGTCGAAGCCACGCCACTTCTGGGAACAGATCTTCGTGACGTCCAGCATTGCCACCTGTCCTGCATCGCTGAGGCCCCGGCACCCTCTGCCGAAACGAAACACAGGGACGGATGAAAGGGCTAATGTTAAAACCAGCTCGACAAAAACGTTGAAAGAACACCATTTTCAGAGCCTTCGCAAGACCTGCGACGACGGTATCAAAGAGCGCCCCTACATAATTGTTCTTAATTCACCTTTGGATTTTTCGTGCACGGACGGTGTCCCAGTCCTCGATGAGGCCTGCCAGCCTTGCCACCACCTCGGTCTTGTACTGGCACTTGAGTACAAACAGGATGCCCATGTCCATGGGCTCGTAGACAGAAGTGACGTTCGGAGGCAAGAAGATGATGACGATCTGCGGGTCGTTGCTTTTGACCTTGTGGCCGGGACAGTTGTCCCACAAGAGGGCCACCTTCTTGGAGGTTTTGCCTTTGACGAAGGGAACAACGAATTCGTCAAACCACCGCTGGCAAATGGCTAGGTCGAGCCAGGCACTCTCCTGGGCGAAGTAGGGACATGGCGGTTTGCGGACGTGGAGGGGAACCATCGTTTTTTTCGACGTGCTGATGACGGCCAATGGCACCATCAGAGACCCGGTCGCATTGCAGCAGGCGACCACCGTGCACCGATCCTTGGCCTTCATGGCCTTCGAACCCCGCGCGGTTATGCTGTTGACGCCGGCGGCGGCCTCCCCCCTCGTGACGTGTGTACCTCTCGGGAAGCAGTGGAAGAAAAGTCCCGTCTCGTCCTTGTTAAAAATGAACTCGACGTCGAATTCCTGCAGCTGCTCACGAATCCTCTCGATCTCCTCCGCCACCTTCTGCTTGTCCACGTCGCCAGCTTCTCCGTGCAATTGGACGTGAGTAAAGCTGTAGCGTTTCAGGAAGCGATGTAGCCAGCCGCTGGTCGCCTTGAAGTTGGTCTTCCCCATCTGCGCCGCGATCTTCAAGGCCTGGGCCTGGATAATCGAACCACTCACGCCAATCTTGGTTGCCTGCGTCGGGAAAGCCACAAAAAGAAACAGCAGCGACATGGTTTCGATCAACTCTCCCTTGAATTGGTTGTGCGTTCAGTCGGCCAGCTCGAAACAGGTGGGCTAGAGCTTGTCGAACCCCCAACCCAGCAGCTTTCGAGGGTGGGAAGAGGTGTAGGGGCGGAAGGGTGTAGGCGCATAGACAACCAAGTTGTGTCCTGACCAACACATGACTAATGCAAAATATGTGCTTACGTCAAAGCGTGCTCGTGCGATCTTGATCCACTTGCGTAGTTTCTCTTCCACTTCGTCGTGTACCGGCTTCGGCGCGCGAAGGGCGTCCTGGTTGAGCTCCATGTCGCGGACTTTCTCAAGCTCAGCGATTTTCTACGGATTCATCTATTTGCTGACGTACGAAGTACCGACGTTCCACTTTGCAGCAACCATGCTCCTCTTAACCTCCCCGTGGACCTCCTTGACAATCTGCAATCGCTGCGTCATCGATAACTTGTTTTTGCCAGTGTCCCGTCCGGGCTTGGACACCCGGACTTTTTTGGCGACACTACCTGTGCCGTCCCCTGCGGCACATCCGCCGCCTCCCCACGTGGCACCTCCGCCGCCCCCCCCCGCGGTGCGTTGAGGTCGTTTCCCCTTCCTTGCAGTCTCTGACTCTTTGCCCCTAGCCGGTTGCCTCGTCCTGCGCGACAAATTCTGCAAGAGACGAGGGAATTGTGACATGTCAGGGCAGGTTGTTGGCAAATACACCCACGTGAGAAAAAATGCCGTTGTGCCCAACACAACATGCACTTATTTTCCGGAGAACGAGAGTGCTCGCACCTACCGCCGAGAGACTGCACGCAGGCCAGCAGCTACAATTTACGCTGAATAAAAACAAGACGAAAGAATATAACGACTGCGTCTATTTTGAATGTTTTTCAAGTGCGAACCGTAAGCACCAGAGTCCTCTGAACGTACAAAAGTTCACTCTCTATCAGCGTTGGACAACGAGAATCACTTCGGCAGCGCGACATGCGAACTGCTTCAGGCGCAAATTGCGTGCCAAAAGATGCAAAGAAGTAGCGATAGTCTTCGTTTGGTTTTTGACGCTCACTACAATTGCACACACGCCGACACATATTGACGATCTTTTGTCATGACAAAAAAAAAAATACACGCACACACGCAGCCTTGTGCGTACAATCTCATTGAGTTTTCCTGGCATGCTGACACTGCTGTTGTTGTTTGATAACAATTAGACGAAGGCAAGGACATGCAATGTACGTGTAACATCGTGGTGCATGGTTTCCTGCTCAACACCTCAACAGCACGCGTTCGGCCGATGGCTGCTGCTGCTGCTGCTGCTGCTGCTGACTGCTGAAAATCACAATCATCACCTGCTGCTGTTGTCCTCGTTGTCGCTACTGCTGTCCACCTCCATGGGACTTGTGCCGGTGCCGATCTTGCCTGTAGTCGTTCTCCCCTGACAATCTGTGCACTCTCTCTGCTGCCCGAAGCCTTCCTCACCGATTCCTCGGCCACAGAAGCCATGTATCGGCCGCCCGCATGGGCACTGGTGGACTGCGGTGATCAGTAGAGATCTCATCGCACAAGTTGGTTCTCCACATGTTTTTTTGGCCGCATTAGATGGACCGCCGGTAGATGGGAGGAATCTATCCATATCAACACCCAGTTACAGCTGCAGCACCAGACCGCTCGCTGCTTCTGCTGTCCGTGCGTTGATACTCCTGCACTCACTGTGGTGCGTGGTGCGTGCAAAGAGCGACCCGCAGGACACAAAGCAAGGGTTACGCGGCAGAAACAGGGGGTACCCCATCATCGTACATTCCGCTGGGCCACTTGGTGCTCAGGTATAAGGTTTCCTTAAAGCGGAGAGTTTCCTCTACGCGAGCGTCCTTAAAGCGGGGTAGACTGTATGGAGAAACAAACACACCGATGATTGGTCGTGCTTGCAGCATCACGGAAGTACCGTTATATCAGCGGCATGGCAGAGGTTGTCTGGTTATCCTGAACTCTAGTCTACTGCTGTAGCAGTTTGCTCCTCCGGTTTGATCGATAGGCCGTCTTGGGCGTACGGCCTCAATCCAGATGCGCTTTTGCCGTTTGACTGAGCGCGCAGTTCTCCACCTCTGCCATCATAACGAGGACTGTACCAACACCTCAAGAGATCAGCGAGCCTCAGCCGGAGACAAGCGGGGGGACAGCAGTTCGTCGCGAATGAAAACGGCGTGTTGCTCCGGAACAGGGACGACATCCTCCAGCGGTGGGCGAGATTCTTAAGCACCCTACTCTGCACCAAATCCCCCACCCTGAGCCCAGACATCATCGAACGAGTGACGCAGCGGCCAGCGACACGTGACACTCAACGGTTGGGAGATGTGCCAGAACTCGAGGAGGTGGCACGGGCAACGAAAGGCCTCAAGAACTGGAAGGCACCCGGCCATGACTCCCTCCCTGCCGAGTTGCTCAAGATCGATGACGACGAACCCTTCGTCCTGGGACACCTCCATACCATCCTCGTCAAGGTGTGGAACGGA